ACATACACGGGTGTTTTTCCTCCAGCTCAATTTCAGGCTAATACACTGTGAGCAACAATTCCTTTAGCTGAATAAAATATTGGAGTCCAATATAAATTGTGTACACTGTACACAAATACCTGCATGCACACACACTTCAGTTTACAAGGAATACAATTTAAGCCCTAAACATAGATTTAATATTGTAAAAATCAACAGAGGAAGGGGATAAATGAACAACTATTAATGGATTAGACCCTAACTATGAATTTGGCCTAATGGGAATAGAAATATTTTTGCTGAATACTGTGTTTTGATTAACTACATGCACAGACATGCACACACATACAGATGCCTCTTTTTGTTGATTTTAAACTTTCCATTGCCAAGTTACTAGCCCCAATATAACAGTGTTATGGGACTGAGGTAAAGCTCAGCGAGATGCGTAGAAAGATGCCCAACACCTTCAAGGGAATTTGGATCAGGACTTTGTGTACAGTGGTCCTAGCAGAGGACAATGCTGAAGTCTCTCTCTTTAGAACTGAACTACTTTTTTAGGCTAGGTAAAGACAAGACAGAACTGATCTAAGTTGTACAGTTCTCTGTAAGCAGCACAGTTTAGGGGCACAGATAGAAGTGATAATTTTCGCCCAATACAGCCATAGAAAGCAGTTTATAGATGTGACCAAACACAAGCACACAGCTGCAAACTGCTTCAAAAATGGCCAATTGGGTGAAAATCTGAACCCTCATTGCATGAGGGCAGTGGTAACACATAGGGGGTACATGTGCACCCCCTGAGAGCACCAGTAACCCTGTCAGGCCACGCTCCCCATTTAGCCGGCAGGCAGGGGGGCAGGCGGAAGCACCAATGCTCCCACTGTGAGCGCCAGCTGGGGAGCAGGGCCGCCAGCAAAAGCGACCACGTTTCTTTTTGGCGAGTGAGATCAGCCACTGGGGGACAACCCCCCCCCCCATCACTGACAGGTGCCCCCCCACCTCCCGACTCAAGAGGCACCACTCGCCCATGCACAAGGCGTCAGATAAACACCTTACGAACAGAGCATCTTCTGTAACTTCTGTCTGTGCTGCCTGCCAGCCTTGAGCTGTTTTCAGAATAGGAGGGGGAGAAAGGGAGCAGAAGGAGTTTGGTCTGGGGGTGGGAAGGCTCCAGTACACCCACTCCACCCTTCCACACCAGTTGGGGAACCCCTGGATCTAGCTTCCTCAGCTCCCTTTCCCCGCTCCCATTCTGGAACAGGGACAGGCTGGGAGAGAGGAGGGGCCATTGCTATGGGAACTTGGCTGCAGGCTGGAGCAAGCAGCTAGATTCCCCTCTCCCTGGACCCAACAGTGAACTTCTGTTTGGTCCTGGGGATCACTGCAACTCAGAACACTTCCTGCACAGCATTCTCAGTTACAGCAGGGAGCTGCACCTTAGATCAGTAGCAAACTGAACATACTTTCACCCTTCGGTGGGGTGGGGGGCAAATCTTAGCCTGGTTTCTGCCATTTTTAAATCAGTCTGTTATGGGTTACAGGTTTCTGATCACTTATACTGGTAAAAAGTATAATGTCTATCCCTGGCCTTAAGGAGTAGAATGGGTTGGTGGTTGGGAGAGACAGTGAAATTCTTTTGTTTTTTTTAAATCCGTAACTATAAAAAAAATCAAATCAAATTGTATACAGAACTGCTGGTCCATATGTAGACTAACTGCTGACTGAGATTTACATTAAGCAGAAGGTTTAAAATGCCAGAGGAGTGTAAGATCAGGGGTGACAAAGTATAGCCATCTTACATTTCTTTAGCTCTATTCATCCCAGGAGATACCACAGTACTTCATAGACTTGCTCACTGCTGTACAAAAACCACCTCATTCACCTCTGTATGCAACCACTGCTGGAGCAAAGCACAGGGGCCATTTAACAGCACACAGGGACATTCCACAACGCTTTTGCAAAAGAAGGGGTTAATACTTTTAGTTAAGCTAAAAAGTCCCATACCACTTAGGTAGGCAGGCTTGGGTTTGCCTAGGACTTCGGAGGCAGCATTATTATTTTTGTAAACATTGTCCTAGGATTTTTAGTAGCTTTGGCTGTCATATGCAAGATAACACTTCCAACAGAATAGAGTCTTTTGCCACTGTACTAGGGTCTCGACTCACTGCTGCTTGGGGAAGTGAGGGCAAAGAGCATACCATGTATGTTGTTATCACCACCTACCTGTGCTATATGATTCTTAGGAGTCTCCCATGGCAAAGGCTACTGCTAGCCAGGTGCATGAACCATCTTTTCAGGGTGATAACACTAAAATTGGCCAAGGAGACCGTGTCCTTCTTTGCTAAATTAAGGCAGGTTTGTGTGGCCTGGGCTCCATTTCATCTAAACTGCAAGATTTCTTAGGTAAAATGTTTGAGCATCATCTCAGAGAGACAGACTAGCATTGCTGTACCATAGGGCATAACGATTAGGCCTGTGCAAAGTAGCTAGTATTCACTTTGGATTCGGATTCGGCTGATCTGTGGGACAGTGATTCGATTCAGCCATTCGAATCACTGTCCTGATTCGATTTGGCCAAATCTGATTTGGAGATTCAACAGCAGCCAAATCTCCAAATCAGCCAGGCCAGGCCCATCCCCCGCCCCTCTCCCAGCCCGGCAATGGCTGCCCCACCTACCCCAGCTCCCAGCACTTGGGGAAAAAAAAGGCCCGGCTCAGCAGGTGCTGCACAAGCCCATCCTGCCACGCTCCCTTCACAGGTGCCCCACACAGGCCAGCTCCAGCCCTTAAAAAAACAAAAACGAAAAAAAACCTGAAGAAATCCTGGGACTCACTGCTCCTGCTGACGGGGGGGTGATCCCCACTGCCCCCGCCACATGGGGGGCTCTGCACAAGCCCCCGAAGCCCCGAGGCTGCACCAGGAGCAGATAGTCCCCGGGGCTTTTCTCGGCTTTTTCTTTTTCCTTAAAGGGCCAGAGCCCTGGCAGGCAGGGCACCCATGGTGGGGCTCATGCAGAGCCCCCCATGCAGCGTGGAGCAGTGGGGATCGCCCAACAGTACCCGGTGAGCACCAGGGCTTTTTAAGTACTGAGCTGGGGTGGGCAGGGGTCCCCCCATGGTCCCCTCCCCCACCCCTAGTACTTACCAGCTCTGCTGCAGCCTGAATCAAAGCTCTCCAAATCTTTGGCATCGATTCAGACCTTTAAATTGGTCCCCTGATTCAATTCGGAGATTCAGCCACCGAATCAGGCCAAAACTCCTCTGAATCGAATCAGCACCCGAAGCTTCGCACAGCCCTAATAATGATGAATTCTGTTCTATTCCCCTATTTTCACAACCTCGTGATACTACTGACTACATGTAATAATCAAACTATAAGCAAGTTCATTGTCAAAAGACAGCACAAGTTAAGCTGAAATTAGGGACAGGCTAAGGAAATGGTTTCCAGATCTGGATAACAGTTAGGTTGGCCTAGGTGTCTGAAGCCAGATCAAGGGGAGCAGGCAAGCTCAACACCATCAATCTCACAAGTTTCTGATCTTGTGAGACCTTGGTCCAGAGTGACTAAAGGCTCACAAGACTGGACAGTTACTGACAGATTTCAGTGGACCCTGAACTGGTGCTGGAAATGGAGACCCAGGACCTGATAGGAGGGAAAAAGCCCTAACAGGATCTTAGCTCATATCTAGTAGAAATCCACTGTCCTTAGGACAGGAGGGACAAAGTGCAGGAGGGACACTTAATTCTTCTTTATCCTGAGTTTCAAGAAGAGAGGTTAAACATCAGAGCCAGAGGCACTGAAGCCACACCCTGCCTTTACATCTTGGAAACCCCCTGTCTGAGGCCAGGTAGAGATGTCCCAGACCCTCTGCAGACCCCATCTCAAAATACATGAGCGATATTGCTAATGGACTGAGAGCACAGAACAGCTCAAAGCCCTCATGAGCTAATTTTACATCCCTCGCCATTCACCGGCTTGCTGACAAGTGGTTCTGTGAGCGGCACCCAATAAAATTCTCATTAGCCTCACAGCTAATGGGCAGAGAGATATGGGGACTCAATATCAGCTCCTGTGAACTAACATTTAATCAGCAGAAATGAATTGTTGCCTGGGGCTAGAGGAGGGATCTGTCTGTCGCAGGTTAACAGCTCCTAGAGAGACATTCATCTGTGTAGTGCCAGATCTTGTGACTTCAGGCCCTCACACTGTGACCTGCAGCCAGCCTGAGCAGACAGTAACACAATATTGCCCCTTTCTACAACAACAGGGAAGGGAAGGGTCTCTGGTTCCCTTGCTTGCTCTGGTACATGCCCCCTCATTATCCTTAGCCTCTCATTCACTAACTGTCCTCCTGCGAGGTAAGAGACTGCTTCTAGTTCCCAGGTACAAATGGAGAAAATGAAGCCCAATTGTGAAGCGACTTCCCCAAACTCAGATAAAGAGTCTGTGATCGAGAAGGAAACAAATCCCCAGGTCTCAAGTGCCAGGCTAATGCTCTAACCACGGGGCCACCATCCCATCAGCATGGAGGTAAGAACTAGCTCCAAGGTAGATCTTCCACTCAGGAGTAAGGCACTGGTGACTGTTTAAAACTTAGCTCAAAACCTTGAAGATGATAGCGAGCTGGAAGTGTTGGCTTCAGGGAATCTCAACTGGCAGTGGCACAGAGTGTCAAAAAACTTAGACAAGAGTCAGGTGCAAAAAAAATAAGCATAAACACTGAATTATGCTTCACCCTGCTGGGACATTTAGGACCTGGAGGCAGAGGCTTAAAATAGACCAGCTGAAACAATAAAGGAGAAAAACCTGTCAGCATCATACCACCCCAGCAGAAAGCTGGAAAACTGATTCAGCCATGTGGAACTCTAATGAAGTGCAGCCTGGAGACATATCACCAAGAGTCTGTGGGGCAAGAAGCATTACCGCTATAAAAAAGTTGCATGCTGCAGACTAAGCAGGTATGATCAAGCCAATTAGGATGGATAGGAAGAGTCTTCCTAACGAACCTTTGAGGACTTACCTTTGGAGGTACGTAGAACTCCAGCAAGAACCTCTCCCCCTCCATCTTCACCGCTTTCCTTAACATCAACCGACACTTCTGCCACTGAGAGCTACCAACGCAGTTCGTGTCATCTGCAACCATGTAGCGGAGGGTGCCCTCCCTCTGAATGTCCACCAATTCCACCTTGGAAGATTGCACCTTCGACAGCCGCAGCTTGTGCGTCCATCTCTCCCTGGTGTCGTTATGCTCCTTGTTCCCAGAAGGGCAGTGCTCTCTGTCTGACCTCCTGCTACTCTGTGTAGCCTCTATGCCTGGCTCTGGAGAAGACTTCCTGTGCCACATCTCCTTCATACCATCCACCACACACAAGCTCATGTTCCTCAAGGAGAAGCCTTTCTTGAACTTTGGCTTGGAGGTGGCATGTACAGACACATCCTCCGAGCTGCGAGAGTGGCCATAGGAAGAAACTTTGTGTGCCTGAGCCTGCTGCGACTGGCTCAGATACCTGCTGGAGCTGACTGGGTTGTCCATGCTGTCCAAGGATTCTGTGGAGGTCTCCTCTTTTCTCTGTATGATGTCTCTCCCGTAAGGCATGTGGCAGTTCTGGAGCCCCACAAAGGGCACGATGTTGTATTTGGTCGGGGAGTCAGACACAAATACCCTGCTGACCTCCAAGCTGAAGATGTCCAAGAAATTGGCAGCAAAGTGGTGGGAAAAGGAGGTCTCAGCCCCTGGGGTGTCGTAGTGGGGATTCTCCTTCAAGAACTGGCAGAACTTCTGAGCAAAGTCCACGGCAGCTGCCTGGGCATGGAGCTCACAGAATTCCCTCCAGTCAGGAAGCTGGGAGGAAGATTCCTGGCAAAGGGCATCACCATTCATGACTGTCCCATTCCACCTACCAGCAAACTGCGGAGGCAAGTAGAAGAGAAGGTCAATGAGAGTTCATATATGGGACACAAAGCATGCACATGTGCCTGCGGTGCACACATGCATGCACAGGGCACTGCAGAATTACCCAGGACAGGGGAAAAATCGGTGAGGAAAACAAACTCACCCTTGAGTCCCTACAGCAGGCCACAGTGTACAAAAAACATGTAAACTTATGGATAGCACAACCATATTTCTCCCCTGATGGTCACCTCACTTCAGTCTCTCAAATAGTGATGGCATCTGCTACAGAGTCAGTGTGGACTATGGAAGACAAAGCCCTATTCAGATGACAAGGGAAGCCCCAGTCAGTACGTGCATGACTCCCCCACCCCCACAAAACCAAAAAAAACCCTTTTTTTTTTGCTTTCAGCCCCTGGCCCTTTCATGCAGGTACCATGCTGATGCTGGAGTTGGTGAGATGAACTTCACACCACCCAGACAAGTCTGTGCCTTCTGGATTTCACTCCCAATCTCAGGATTTTACACAGATTTGAACACCTAGCTAAGCACTGAAAAGACCAGAAATAGCTGTGCCCCCCCCCCAATCAAAGCAAACTACAAGGGACTCCTATAGCAGTCCGTGCTCCATCATAGGGGGGGTCCCCAGCTGCCAGGGCTATGGGACCTGGGCCAGGATCTTGTGGTGGGGCCAAACTATAATTTGCTCCCCACATGCCCCCTGCCTGTGGAACCGGTGCCCACCACAGGACCATGCAGGCAGTGGACCATGGCTCTGCCCCAGACCCCTGTCAGCGCTTCAAGATCCTAGGATCTCCCTGGTCCCACCCACTCATCTCTCTTGCTCCCGCTGGCCCATGGCCCCATCCCAGACACCTGCGCAGGTCCTGCCCTCAGCAGGGAGTTTGGGGGGGGATAGGTGGGGGTTCCCAGGCAGTGGGGCTAGGTCCAGTAGCAGCAGCCAGGAGCCACCACCACTGGCGCTGCCAGGAAATGGAGTCTGGCCACCACACCGCATGAGCCCCACTGTGCACCAGGGGATGGCAGGACCAGTCACACATGCCACGACCTCGGATGCCCCCTGCACCTGGGCCAGGAAGGACTGAGGGACCTGCTGCGGGTTGGATAAAATATCCTCAGCAGGCCTAATCTGGCCCGCGGGCCATTTTTTGCTCACCCTTATGTTATAGTCATTTGGCCCCTCCCACACATCTTTTAGCACCTTTCACTTCAGTCTTCTTCAGAGATGGACAGCAAAAATGAGAGTGGCCACATCCCATCACCAACGAAGGGTTCTTTCAAAATGCCCTGCAGTGATCAAGTTTACAGTGGAAATAGGAGCTATTGAGTGTCAGGCTTCTTCTGTGACCGGAGGTAACCTTTCAAGCTGATGCAGCAAGAAGAGAGACAGAAACCTCTGTGATGTAGTCTATGAGATGAAAGGAGAGAAGGGATATATTTTGGGATGGACTTCCAAGTTTATGCAAGGATTAGCAGAGCTGCTAACGCAACCTTGTGCTCCCCCCTGCTGAGAAGGTACAGAAGATTAGCTCTCGGCCCGGAGTCAGGACTGCTGGGTTCTCCCACACTCTCTACACAAATTTGGGCAAGTCACCTATCACTCCATCTCTGTGGTTACAGGTAAACTACCCAATTCCAAACGTGCCCTGCACCTGCCCCTGAAAGAAGGCAGAGGCCCAAGCAGAGAATCTGGCTTTAAACTCATGGCCTTTTCCAGAGCTCATGAATCCACAGTTCTCAGTTACGGTCAGTGCAGCAGGAATTCATAGATATTAATGCTACACTGGAAAACCAATCCAGCCAGGGATGAGGGGGAAGGGCAAGGGAGGCTGATGTTGATCATTATTGATAGGAGGGATGAACGGTGTCAAGGACAGTCAGCATCACATGGGAACTGCAATGAGGCCCAACAGGGAACACAGGGTTCACAGAGTCCCTCACAATAGCAAAGGGGCAGGATTAGACAGATTTTGAAGTTGCTTCCTGCCTCAAGCTGAAGACAGGGAGCCTAAAAATATTTGGTCTAACCCACCTAAAGGCAATTTGGGGCAGGAGACTGCATCCAGGCACTATTTCCAGCGTAGAAATGCTAGCAAGGAATGAGTGCCGGGCTTAGAGGATAGTTAGCCACCTCCCGGTTAGGGGAGTCAGGGTTAAGTGCTGCTCTGGCACTACAAGCAGCAGTCAGAGAATTCATTTTCATTATGCCACAGGCTGTCTTCCGGTTCTTCATTAGCAGGATCTGCAGCAGAGCAACATCCCACATAACAGCTGTAACTCGTGGCCAAGTGGAGGGGAGAAAGGGTACACACACATTTGCGTAGAAGCTGCTTTAAAGTACTGCAACTAGCATGGCACCTTCTCTGCAGGTGTGTTAGCTGCTCCACAGCTGTGCACATCTGGCTCACAGCTGCTGCAGCCTCCATTAGACTGCCAGCACCGTAAAGGCAGATTTTAATGTGCAAGATAAAGGGAGAGGCTCTTTTGGCATAAACCTTGTTTCACAACAAATCAGATTTGCAAGTCTCCCTACCCATAAACAGCCATCCATGTAAGGTTAAGTGGGGTGTGTGCAGGCCTTCAGTTTTATACAGGAATCTTGGCCTCAAGAGAATGAATGGGCAGTCAGGGAAACATTCAGTCTTTCACACTTTTCAATTCTGTATCAGGGGCTCATGTTTTTTTGCTATATATTAAACTTTGGGGGGCCCTATTTAAAAGTTGATTGTTTCATGGTGCCCATTGTTTAGATGGGAAAACAGAAGCTCAGAGATGGGGGAGAAGGTCGTGTCCAAAGGTCTCCTGGCTGCAGAGTTGGAAACAAAAGCCAAGAAGCAATTAGCCTGAAGACTCAAACTCTGGTCCCCAGAGCTGCCAACAGACCAGCTTCATTTGATAGCTCAGCAATGCTGGGTTTGGGGGTGGAAGATAGGGGTCCTTCTTGCATATAAAGTGTCCTGCACTAGGAAAAGGAGGGCAGAGCCCTGCACAAGGTTGCATTCATTTACAGAACATGCATTAGAGACCAAGGCAGCTGGGCATTATTCCACAGTAACACACCTTCCACCCACAAGAAAGAAGCTACCACCATGCAGAGGGAAGAACAAAGGGAAAGAGTCAAAAGGACCTCAGTTCGGCTGCCAGGTAGATTATCAAAATATTCCATGTACTCTTGAATGGAGTTACATCAACCTGCTGAGGACTGAATTATTCATTTCCTTGGCCCAGTTCGAGACATCACTGCTCATTTTTGGAGGTAAGAGACACGCAAACAGTTTTGCTCAGCTGAGATGCTCCTGCCTAGCAGGCTGCTCGCTGCTGGCTGTCAGCTTGGGATCCACACTTACACACTGCAAATCTTCACAGAAGCACAGAGCTCATTGCTGAGCAACAGCAGGGCTGGCTCATTAGTCAGGGTGTGGGGACAGCAGTTCTGTATCCAGCTGACAAAGACCACCCTGGGAGGAAGGCAGGTATCATGGTCCAGGCAGGGGGCTGAGACACCAAAGTGCCAGGTTCAATGCCTCCTTGCATCACAGCCGGCTAGAGTGGCTCAAGCAAGCTACTTCACCTGTTTCTCTGCCGTTTAAGCTGCAAGGTCTTTGGGGCAGATGGTCTTTTGCTATAGGGGTTACTGTAATATAAACAATAAATCCTATGGCATAAAAACAAAAAGCAAACAAAAAACCCCTGCAGGTGAACTAAATGTACCTCAGTAAAACAACAACAAAAAAGACACTAAAAAAAAAATCCACTAGCAAGAGGCAGAAGAGGGAGGGAATTTGGTGAGCTCATATTCCTAGAAGAGTCTTCAACATCCTACATAAACACTGAGCATCATCCCCTCCCCTGGCAGCAACTAAAAAAAAAACCTTGCTTCACAGAAGAGGGCCCTCCATGCCAAAGAGCTGCAGGGGTGAGGCAGGGCTGGAGAAACTTTGCAACGTGTCATCTGTGCTGTACCAGTGGGCAAGATGTTTTTACAGCAAAGCACCATTCATTCGGCTTTGCCCCCCCAGCTCAACAGGTCCTCAGAGGAAGTCACTCAATTACTCCCCAACTGACATGGATGGACAGTCATTCATCTCACTGAGGGATGGGGGGGGGGGGGGGGGGTGCTGATAAGGAAGTCCAGTCTATGCCCATCTGCGAGGCGCTCCGAGCTGTCCCGATGCAAGGCACTATACCAGTTGCTTCCTCTGAAGGATTTTGTTCTGTAAAGTTGTTGTCACATTTCCCTGAAAACCCATTGCTCAGGCAAAGCCATTCTGTTTCTATTTTTAAATCCATGATGAGGAACAGGAGACTTGCATCTCAGGAAACTTCACCAACTGCAGAATGAGTCGCATGCCTGGGGTCACTGTAAGGAGCACTGCAGCTAGCTGGAAGGCCCTGAAGCCAATGCTCCCCTACCCACAACTCCAGAACAGCCACTTCAGAGGCCCCTAATAAACATGCACTGAGGCTATTAATTCTTCACTCAGTCTAGTGCTACAACCCGTTTTAGAGGAGAGGTTTTACAGTAGATAGTTATGCCTAATGGTAGAGTGAGTGGGGCTGGCTAAAAACTCAGCATTGATTGTAGGAAAGTGTATCGACTCCTCAGAGTTGCTGACTAAGTTGGAAGAAGTTCCACTCAGAACAGTAACAGCTTCCCACAGAGGGTGGGCATAAGCAAATGATGACAGAAAAAGAAATTACCACTAACATTTTCAAACTTCAGTGCCTAAAGCTAGGCTCCCGAATTATTATTTATTCACCTACAATATTGGGTTCTGTCTTTAGTGGTGCTGAGCATCAGCAGCTAATTCCAG